TCTCGCTGGGATCTTTTGTCCTTGGAACCCAGCCACCATGTTCTGAGGAAGCCCAAGCCAAACAGAGGTGTCCTGGCCAACAGAGCCAGCTAAGGTCTCAGCAGATGACCAACATCAACTGCCAGACACGTAAATGAAAGAGCCTCATGTGAATCCAGCCCCTGACATTGTGGGCCCAGATAAGCCATACTGCTGTAAGCTGTCTGAATTTCTGACCCGTAATACATGGTTGTTTCATCCCACTAAGTTTTTGGGTAATCTTTATGCAGCTATAGTCACTGAAACACAAGAAGAGTTTTGTTTTATAACTTTTGCATTTGTTAGCATGAGGATTTTCTCCCGTTGCTTTATAGTCATCGTAATTATTTTATTGGCTACAAAATATTTTGAGTTGATGTAGTATAGCTTATTTAAATATTGTGCTATTCTTGGCTATTTAGACTGTTTCTCGTTTTTCACTATTTAAGTAATGATATAAAAAGTTATGCATAGAGATTTTTCTTTTTCTTTGAATTGCTTCAGTGGGACAAATTCCCAGAAGTAGAATTACTTTTGGGTATGAACATTTTTGTGGCTTCCCAAACGTACTACCAAATTACTTCTCAAACAAAATTGCATTGATTCTGCCATTGGCTGTTTGGCAATATTGGTACATAAAACCACCTCAAATGTGTTTTGAATTAAAGAGGGTATAAATAAAAAACTGTATGAAAGAAAACCCTTTACTGTCTTTACGTCAGCATCAGACATCACCATCACTTTTAATTTTTTTGCTAATTTAGTCAATGGAAATTGTGTTTTTATCATTGTTATTCATTTGTGTATCTTGAGTGAGTACTGAAGTAGAGATTTTTTCATATTTTAGAAATTGTTTTTACTCCTATCTGAAGCATCTATATATATTCTTTATGCAATAGTGTATTTATAAGAGCTCTTGACATCACTGTTTATTTAAATTATGTCATGATTTCATTAGTAGACTATAAAATATATTGTGGCTCATGACTAGTATTAAAGAAAAAAATAGAGTAGAATAAAATAGAAATATCAGAGCATTCTGCATATAGTAAGATTTTTTGTGTTAAAAAAATGTGTATACATTTCAGGGGTAAAAGTTCATCTTTTTAAAACGGATATATGGTATAGTGGTGAAGTCTAGGCTTTTCGTGTAGCTATCACCTGAGTGGTGAATACTGTACCCATTAAGTAACTTATCATCCCTTACCCCCTTCCATCTTCCCACCCTGCCACCCTTCCCAGTCTCCAATGTCTATTACTCCATTCTGTGTCCACGTGTACACATTACTTAGCTCGCACTGATAAGTGAAAGCATGTGGTATTTGCCTTTCTGTTGCTGAGTTATTTTACTTGAGATAATGACCTCCAGTTCCATCTACGTTACTGCAAAAGACATGATTTCATTCTTTTTTTATGTCTAAATAGTATTCCATTGTCTATACGTGCCGCATTTTCTTTATCCAATCACCCATTGATAGGCACTTAGGCTGATTTCATATCGTTGCTATTGTGAATAGTGCTGCAATAAACATACGCGTGTAGGTGTCTTTTTGATATAATGATTTCTTTTCCTTATACCCAGTTGTGGGATTGCTAGATTGAATGTTACGCTATGTTTAGTTGAGAAATCGCCATACTGTTTTCCATAGAGGTTGTACTAATTTACATTCCCATCAACAGAGTATAGTAAGGATTTTTTTTTGTATGAAACTTTTATTTTGATGTAAGTTTGTATTAAGTCGTGATACTCTTCTTCTTAGCAGAGATGCAACAAAGATGTTTTTAAAAGATGGGCCTTATAAAGCATATTTATGAACCCCTTTTTATACTGATGTAAACATCTCCCAGGCTTCCCTTTTTGTATTGAATTATTTTTCTTTTGCAGTATTTTAATTTTTCATGTGGTTAGGCCCAACAATCTTTTGTAATTTCTTCTTTCAGTTGTAAACGAAATTCATCTTGTTTCTACAGAGGTGATAAATGATCTATCCTATTTTTTGTCAACTCAATTCTTAATGAAGCATTCTCTGGACACCTCGGAACTTCTAAAAATTCACGTTGGCTCAGCAAAATGCAAATGAAGAGCTCTGGCGCAAATGCTATTATGGAGTGGGTAAATCGAGAATGTGTGATAATCACGAGATCACGTGTCCCCATTCTCACTTCCAGTTGTCAGTTTATGCCGCATCAGCAAAATGAGTTTTGGGGCAAATGCTGTATAAGCAAATGTTATAATTGTTACCCAAAGATAGCTACCAAATGATGAAAAATATTGAAGAAGTCAAGTTGAAAATGCCTGAACACATGGCAGAACTCAGAAAAAGACAAGAGAGATGAGTTCGGAGACAAAACTGTCAGAATAAAGATGAGTAAAATGATAATAACAATTGTTCTTGTTTATTGTGTATTTGCCCAGCTCATTTACTTGTCGCCACCATTATTTCCATTTTGCATTTTGCATTCCATTACCATTATTTCCACTTTACAGATGAGAAAACTGCAGTGCAAAAAAGCTATGTGACTTAGTCAAGGTCATCCAGCTTAAATAGGTGCCTGGAATTGGAACTTCAAACCCGGTTCTTAATCACTGGCCCATGCCACCTCTGATGTGGGAGCTAGGGGTTGCAGCTAAGAGAAAAAGGTTAATACCTGGAGATAGCATCACTTACAACTCAAGAGTTATAAAGGGATATTTCGATTGTTCTATGGAAACTTTCCAGATTTCTCTCCCCATTCTGGAGAATTTATTTCAAATAACTGGATCTAGACATCTAGAATAAAAGCAGTTTCTGCCATGTACAGTGCTGGAGATAAAGACTGATGTTTTGTATTCCAGCTGCGATTTTCCTGGATTCCATTCAGATCATGAAAATTCCTAACAAAGACATAGGAGAGACAGTGGGTCAGAGCACACAGGCAGCAGCCAGTGTGCTTGGATTTGCTACCAGCTCAGCCTCTTTGTAGCTGTGTGATGGGGGCACGTTTTCCTCATTTTTAAAGTGAAGGCAATAATAGAACCAACCTCAGAGGGCTGTTGTAAGACAATGCCTGTCCATAGCAAGTGATATACTAGTATTTATTTTATTATATGCTATAATTATTTCATTCGAAGCTGATATATTTCATATTAGTTATATTTTCTTCTGGTTGGATTTTAATCTAGTTTTATCAGTAGCATGTTTACAGATAGGGTGTTTCTATGTTGATTCTTGTAAATTACTTGGCATTTTCTTATCTAATTCTTCAGTTTCCAGAATACCTGATATTTGAGTGGGGTGACCATGTGTTCCTGTTTACTCTTGTTATGCTAGTATCGCTATCCACACTCAAATGTCCATGTTTGAAAGAGAAATCCTGTGGTCCTCCTATCTGGAGAAGTGCAACCCTCTTACCAGGGGTCACTGTTACATTATATGGGCTGGGTCATGAGGTGCAAAGCTGGCATAAAATCAATGATAGTGTGTTTTCTTTTAATCATTTTTCATGCCAGGATCCCCTTGGCAAGCTGCAGAAGCTTTTGGAGCCCTTCTAAGAAAAATGTTTTTAAGTATATAAAATGAAATGCACAAGATTACCAAGGAATTCCTTAGTTTTTGAAAGACTGCTATCACAATAATTTTTAAAACCAAATTTGTAATATGATAATATATAGGCTTTTTATTAATGATTAAATAACAGGTCTAGTGACAGGTTTAATAGCTCTGGTAATTTCAAAGTAGTGATGCACATGGATAACATCATGAGATATTCCTAGTAACAGCAATAGTATATAGTAAAAGCTGTGACTTTCTATTTGTGACAAAGTCACAGGCCCCACTTCTGTTCTCTATATTCACAATAGAATGTAATATTTTCCATGTCCATGTTCACAGATCTCTCTGATTCAATCCAGACCTTTTGTGGATGCCAGTTTAAGAACTGCTGCACAGGCCATGCACAGGGGCTCACACCTGTAATCCCAGCACTTTGGGAGGCCAAAGCGGGCAGATCGCTTGAGGTCAGGAGTTCAAGACCAGCCCGGCCAACATGGCGAAATCCCATCTCTACTAAAAATAAAAAAATTAGCCAGGCATGGTAGCAGGTGCCTATAATACCAATTATTGAGAAGGCTGAGGCAAGAGAATCGCTTGAACCTGGGAGGTGGAGGTGGCAGTGAGCAGAGATAGCACTGCTGCACTCCAGTCTGGGCAACTGCGTGAGACTCTATGTCAAAAAAAAAGAAAAAAAGAAAAGAAAGGAAAAGAACTACTGTGCAAGAGTGAATGTTTGAAGCAAGCAGGAGGGAGACAAATTGCACAAAGATCAGGAAGAAAAGAAAGGCTGGGATGGTCATAGATCTGCCGATAAGCACAACAAGTGAAGAGGAAAAATGACTTGGAAGATGCCAGGATGTGGACTCATGGAAGTGAAAAGGCAGGAATGGTCTGACAGATGTCTCTGTTGACAGAGGACACCCCACCCACAACACATCCTGCCAGAAACGGGAACGTTCACGGTGGCCCAGGGCGCGGACTTGGAAGCCTGACACACCTAGGCGTGAACCCCCGCCCTGCTGTGTTTATCAGCATGTATTTTACACAAGTCATTTAACTGCTCTGTGTCTTAGTTTGTCTTCTGTTTAGTGGGGATAACAATACATTCCTTACAAAATTGCTTTGAGCAGCGGTCCCTAACCTTTTTGGCACAGGGAACTGGTTTTGTGGAAAATAATTTTTCCACAGACCTGGGGGTGGTGAGATGGTTTCGGGATGATTCAAGTGCATTACACCTATTGTTCACTTTATTTCTAATATTATTACATTGTAACACATAATGAGATAATTATACAATACACCATAATGTGGAATCAGTGGGAGCTCTGAGCTTGTTTTCCTGCAACTAGACGGTCCCATTTGGGGGTGATGGGAGACAGTAACAGGTCATCAGACATTAGAATCTGATAAGGAGTGCGCAGCCTAGAACCTTCGCATGCGCAGTTCACAGTGCGCTCCTAGGAGACGCTAACGCCGTTGCTGACCCGACAGGAAGCAGAGTTCAGGCGGTAATGCGAGAGGGGAGTGGCTGTAAATACAGATGAAGCTCTGCTCGCTCACCCACCGCACGCCTCCTGCTGTGCCGCCCCGTTCCTAACAGGCCATGGACTGGTACCTTTCTGTGGGACCCCTGGCTTTGAGGATTCAGTGAGACAGTGTATGTAAAGGGCTTTTTACTGCACCTGTTGTATTGTACCACTTCCATCAATAGCTGTGGCAACAGTATCATTGTCGTCGCTGTTATTAGGAAGGTCCACTTCCCAGCAGTAAGCAGGGACTCCCACCAAGGATTACCAGAAATCGTTGTTGACCATTTGTGGCCAGAAGGGGGAAGCATACACCACACTATAAGCTCAGGAGGCTAAGGACGGAGCGCGGCGAGCGTGGATGGAGACTTCCTTTTGTTCACACAGGCTGAACTCGATGACCGAGGCTTCCTTCGCCTCCTTTGCTTGGCCACGGTGCCCGTAAGCCAGCGGGTCCTTGCTGTAGGATCAGGCGCACCCAGACTGACTAGGCACTTTCAGGGATGTTCTGGTGAGGCAGAGAGGCCAGGGACCAGGCAGAGACCAGCTGGTGTGTATCCCAATCTAGCCAAGCAGCATTTGAATCACATACATCGAGAGGGCAGTTGCTGGGGTCAGGGAAGAATTCTACCAGACAGTAGTTGGAGCTACGTACTTCCGTCAACTCTTCATGTTGTCTAACTTTTCACCTGCCTTCTTTTTGGTAGGACTATCATCTGCTCTCCCCACAGTCCCAGGAACCAACCGGGTTTACACATGCTGTGCTCATCTTAGGAACATCCAACCTAGAATGGCCTGTTCTGTCCTCCCTCACACCACCATGAAGCAATTATTGCCCAGCCTGGGCCACATAGTGAGACTCTGCATTTAAAAAAAGAAAAAAGAAAAAAAGCCAGGTATGGTTGTGCACACCTGTAGTCCCAGCTACTTGGGAGGCTTATGTAGGAGGATTGCTTGAGCTGGGGAAGTTGAGGCTGCAGTGAGCCATGATTACATCACTGCACTCAAGTCTGGGTGACAGAGCAAGACCCTGTCTCAAAAAAAAAAAAAAAAAAAAAAAAGGAAGAAGAGGAAGAAGAAGAAGAACAAGGAGAAGGAAAAAAAAGAGAAGAAGGAGATTATTGTCGTATTTCTCCCTGTACAGAAAATTATGCAAAGTTTTTCACCTAGAGCTACCCATACACACATAGAAAGAAATCCCCTTTACTTTTGTGGCAGAAAATTAACAAGTTGCAGGGACCAAGATCTTATTGTATTATCCTTTTGCAACCCTTCTGCAGGGACATCCAAGAAAGGAGATGCAATTAAATAGGATGGTAGGAACATCGTATATGAAGCATTTTATATAAAGCTGTTTCTAAGGGAAAATGCTACCGTTTTCCAAGGAACTACCCTATAAGTAATTTGCAGATCTGCACCTTGGGGAATAGAACAACTTCTTTTATTTATGTATTTATTTACTTATTTATTTATTTTTGAGACAAAGTCTTGTTGCCCAGGCTGGAGCGCGATGGTGCACTCTTGGCTCACTGCAACCTCCGCCTCCTGGGTTCAAGCAATTCTCCTGCCTCAACCTCCCGAATGGCTGGGATTACAGGTGCCCACCACCATACCTGGTTAATGTTGTATTTTTAGTAGAGATGAGGTTTCACTATGTTGGCCAGGCTGGTCTTGAACTCCTGACCTCAGGTGATCCGCCCTCCTCATCCTCCCAAAATGCTGAGATTACAGGCATGAGCCACTGCACCCGGCCAAATAATCTCTTTGTTTATGTCCTTTAGCATGTGCCACAATGCTAGGCATATAACTAGGACTCCAAGAATACTTATTGAATGGTACTAAAATCTGGGAAATGGACAGAGAGAGTTCAAGAGATCCAACTTGGTTTTCCATGGAATGGATTTTAATTTTTCTTAAAGTTTCTTAAAGGATCAGAACCCTTTTCACAAATAAAATCGTATATACAATTTCAACAAAAAAAGATAAAAAAGGAATTTGCTCTGGTTGAGGTGGTAAGGGGAGGGGGAGAGGACACCTATACCACCCCTTTCTTCCCCCTCAGCCCGGGGAGGAAATCCAGACCTTTTCAGAAACACAGTTTGAACCATATGGCCTCCCACTGGGTGACAAATTGATTTGGTCTCTAGTCCAGATTAGGCCACGAGTGGATGGCCTGGGGTTTTCAAAATCACGTGTTCAGACTAAAAGGTAGGTGACCTAGAGAAAAAGAATATTGGATAAATACCTGCAGAGTTCTAGCCCTGGCTGTTCTTGACAAAATCACCTGATCCTTCCTGTACAATGAAGGCTGGGACCATGTGGCCTCTGAGAACCCTGTCAAAATCCCAATCCGCTGATTCGCAGGGAGAGAAGGCCACACAATTCTCAATGCCCAGGTTTAGGCCGGGAAGCCTCTGCTGCAGGCCTGAGTGGATCTGTGCAGTGGGAGTGTATTAATGGCCTCCCTCTGCTTTCCTCCCATCGCTCGTTCCTGTCCTTTCTCCATGCTGTCCTGTGCCCTGTGGTCAGTACCCCATTCCCTGGTCCCCTTTGACTCTGTGCTCTGTATCTAACAAAGCTTATCTGACTTTTGCCATGGGCCCCAAGGCTGGCTCTCCTTTCCCTGGGTCCCAGGTCTCTAACAGGTTGGGACACTCACAATTCTCATCCAAAACCTGTTGTCTTATCTCTGACTAACTCTCTAATACCACTGAAATTATTCCTGGCTTACAACTCTGGCAAACACCGTTTATCACTCCAAGCCAAGAATTGGAGACAAGATGAAAAGATAACTCTGTTGAAAGGACTTCACTTCTTTTGCTCAATGACAGGCAGTTGGGCAATCAAATTTTTCTGTATCTAGAGTTAAGATAGCAGCAGAGGTAGTCATAAAAAGTAGCTTCACTGTGATTCAGTAGAAAGGTCACGGAGTTTGGAGGTGAAACCGTTGACTAGCTGTGAGACATTTGGTATACCAAATGAGTTTTCTTGATTTAGTTTATCAACTATAAAGGAAGAATCACGTCACACACGAGTCTCACGGGACTGTTGTAAGGATCAAATGAGATAGTTTGCAAACATTTATTTATTATTATGAAATAGATCACATATAGGCCAGGTGTGGTGGTTCACGCCTGTAATTCCAGCACTTTGGGAGGCCAAGGCAGGCAGATCGCTTGAGCTCAGGAGTTTGAGACCACCCTGGGCAACATTAAATTGCCTTACGTAATTAATAAATGCCATATATAGTGTTTGCTGTTATTTTTTTCCTCTTTAACCTTTGAATTGATTGTAAATCTATTTCAAAATTTCCAAATTCATGTGGAGGGCAGTTTCCAGTTACTTTATTTTTTATAATTTTATGTAATTTTGACCAGAGGAATAATATTTATATATCAGTTCATTGAAATTTGTTGAGGCCAGCAGTTTGGCCTAGTATATCATTGATTAACATAAATGTTCCACATGTACTTAGAAATATGTGTTCTCCAAGAACAAGATTAGTGATTTTGCCATTTAAATCTGTACCCTTGCTAATAATTTTATCTGCTTGATCTAAAAAAGGTGCAGGCATTTTTAAAAGCAGGTAAGTAATCTAGGTGACATACTGGCTATTGTTTAGAAAGACCACTCTTACAAAGTTTTCTTTTAAGGCATTTTATTTTAGAATAGTTTTACATTTACAGAAAAATTGTGAAGAGATTTCCCATATATCCTACATCTACTTTCCTGTAATTAACATCTTATATTGCTATGGTACATTTGGTATAATGAACCAATATTGATGTTATTAACTCAAGTCCTTGCTTTATGCAGACGGCCTGAGTTTTTACCCAATGTCCTTTTTCCATCCCAGGATCCCATCCACATTACACTGAGGCATCCTGCCTCCACTATTCTTGGATGTGACCGTTTCTGAAACTTTCCTTGTTTTTGATTACCTTGATGGTTTTGAGGAATACCGTAGAATATTCCTCAATTGCAATTTGATGTTTCTCTCATGATTGGACTAGGGTTTTGGTTTTTGGAAGGAAGATCGTAGAGGTCAAGTGTCATTCTCATGACATCATATCATGACTATACTATCAACATAACCCATCACTGTTGATGTTAACCTTGATTACTTGGCAATAAAGTTTTTTTCTTTTCCTTTTCCTTTTTTTTTTTTTTTTTTTGAGATGACATCTCACTTTGTCACTCAGGATTGGAGTGCAGTGGCGCGATCTCAGCTCACTGCAACCTCCGCCTCCCGGGTTCAAGTGATTCTCCTGCCTCAGCCTCCTGAGTAGCTGGGACTACAGGTGCACACCACCACGCCCAGCTAATTTTTGTTTTAGTAGGGAAGGGGTTTCATCACGTTGGCCAGGCTGGTCTCAAACTACTGACCTCAGGTGATCCATCTGCCTTGGCCTCCCAAAGTGCTGGGATCACAGGTGTGAGCCACTGTGTCCAGCCTGGCAAGAAAGTTTTATACATGTGTAAACTACTATAATTTTTATTATAATGGAATGTCATTGTAATAATATTATGATGCAATGCCACAGACTAGTTTCCACAGACCAAGATTCTAGCCCCCTTTCTGCCACTAAATTGCAGTGTGAGCTTTGGTTGGTCACTTCACCGTTCTGATCCTCAAGAGTTTTTGTTGTTGTAAATCTGAACATGTTCTTTTGAAGTATCATTTTCATGTTTACAGTTACTTCTGAAATGCCTTCTAAACAATGTGCAGTTTTCAGGTTACAAATTTTGGTAGTCACCCTCCGAGGTGTCCCCAGTGGCTAGGGCTGACCATTGTTACCAATAGGCTATTGTGGAGATGATGCTGTGTGACATCTGAGGTTAGATAATGAAAGACATTGTGGCTTCCACTTTGTGCTCTCTTTACTCACTCACTCGGAGAATCAGCCACTATGTCATGAACACTCTGACACCTCTAGGGAAAGGTACACATAGGAAGGAGATGAGGCGTCCTGCCAATACCCACTACTGACTTGCCAGTGGTTGAGTGAGCCATCTTGGAATCAGAGCCTCCAGCCCCAGTCAAGCCTTCATATAGAACCACCCAGCTAAGCTTTTCCAAAATTGCTGAACACCAGCAACTGTGTGAAATAAATCTTTGTAGGTATTAAAAACAAAACGCAAAGCGTTAGATTCCAAGACTTTGAAACTGTTCCAGCGTCCTCACGGGTGGAGGGGAATGTGGGAAGGGGTGCTGCTGGCTTGGCTCCCAGATTCCTCCCCCACGGAAACCACAGCAGCTCTGCCTGTATCTGTGTTACATATTGAGGACCCATGTAGATTTTCTTTTGAAGAATGGAGTCTGCTGCCAAAAATAAATTTGAAAACGCTGGCTTAGAGAAACAATGGATTAGATGACCTCTATAGTCTTTTCTGTCTCTCACATTCTGATTTCACCTATCAGTATGAAACAGATAACTCTTATAAGCCCATGGGCAGTATTTTCTTCTTGCCATGAAATACAATCCTAGGGATAGGAAACAAAAACTGTGTGCTGCTCACTGATAAGTGTGTCAGGAGAATCCGTTCCTTTGTATGAGGATGGAGTGATGTTCCTGCGGAGAAAAAAGCCCCTCTCAGGGCATAGCTCTACCCTCTGGGGCACCACCTGCCAGCCTTGAGGGGCTGGATAGGTTTGCCTCTGTTGTCAATGTTTGATTATAATGATATTAACAATATCAACAATAATGGCTAGCATGTTTTGAGTGCTGTGTGCAAGGCCTTGGGACAGGGGGTTTTACATTCATTATCTCATGCAGTCTTCATGACCACGATGAGGTAGGCATTTTGTAGGATGAGGAAATGAAGGCTGACAGATTAAATGAATTAGAACTGCAATTAAGAGTCTATAGTCATAGAACTCTCGGCCACCATTCGGTGAATTATGGGCCAGGATCAGAACTGAACAGCTAGCATTTGTTAATATATGCTGATTTCAAAACTTGGGGGTTCTAATAGGCATTATAAGAAAAACTCTGCGTTTACTCATTTATTCATCAACTGACATTACTGAGAGTTTACTCTGTGCCTAGGTGGAATTCTAGAAACTGGATAGAAGGGTGTGGAAAACAGAAGCTGGCCCCTCAGGCTACACTGGGATTTGGAGCTGTAAGAGGACCTGAGGAGCCATCAGCTGCTTCCACTGCCTTCAAGGGACAGAAGGACTTGGTATAACCTAGGGGGCTGGATCCTAGAGAGCCGTGAATTCCCAGAACGCTCCTCCAGGGAAATCTTCCTGGGCTGAATCCAATACTGACTGTGCTCATCCTGGCTGGGCACCCTCCCAGGGTCCTGCCCATGAGCCCCGTGAGAAACCATGATAGACAGCAGCAAGGACATTGCACTATAGCAGTTTGTGCAATTTTATCAACATAAGGGACACAGTGTTGAGAAACCTTGTTCTTTGAAATCAGATCCTGAAAAATGATGGTTTGAAATCAAGTCTCTGGAGGCATTGTTCAGAGATTTTCCAATGCAGATCTTACTTGCCCATGTGATTTAATATTTAGTTCCGTCTTTTCATTGGTCTCATTATCTTAACAATTCTGCTCTTTGGAACATTATTTTGGTAAAATCTCAGTTTCATGAATGTATGTTGTACCCCCAACTTCACCAGAGGCAAAGGTCCCCAGAGATGAGGCCAGAACCATTGTTCTAACACTGCCACTGACTTTGCTCTCTGAAGGGTGACTTCATTCATCGTGACGAGTCCACCAGAGTCCTGAGGCTGGGCTGGAGTTTGTCCAGGAAGGTGTAGCGGTTTTGATTCCACAAGGGGAAGGAAGAATGGAGCTCTCCACTGGTGAATGAAGCAGCACCTGTTTTGATCCACAGACCTTCTTGCATCCATCTGCTCCTTGGATGAATTGTTAGTGGAATGAAGCTGGTCCCACTGAGCTCCACAGCCTCGCCTTCTGCTCCCTAAGCCACACTTTTCAGCATACAAGCAACAGGCCTTACCTGAGCCCGAGTCCCTGACTGCTGAAAATACGATTGCAGCTTCAAAATGCAGAACCAGCTGTTCTCCCTGTCATTTGTGGCATGACTTAATTCGCTTCCTCCTCCTCCACTGCAGGCAAGGCTCCTAAGGCACAGTCCTTAGAAAAATTCTGAGGGTTCTGTTGGAAAGTAGGGAGGGGAGGCAGCTTGCCTTTTATCTTGTTTATGCTCTTGGGCTGAGTCTCAAATTGTCATGCTATAATGGTCTATCCTAGGCAGAGATCTAGACGGCAGGTAACAGATTTAAACACTTACCAGTGACTACCTTATTTTTCCAAAGAGTGTTGAAGCCAACTGGGGACCAGTGGGGATCAGGTCAGATGATTTGATGTAACTGTTGTAACAAAACTAAAATCTACTCATCATCATGGTGACATAAGAGGCCTGCAGTTTAACTCGGGATAAGGTGTGACCTGCACACTCTGACAGGGGAACCTGGACCACTGTAATCAGCAGATGCCATGAGGGTCCCAGGCCCAAGGCTGCCAGGTAGTGAGGGCAGCCTGTGCAGTGGGGCTCTGGGTTCTCCACTGGGCTCAACCCCAGCTGCAGAAGGGCGAGGTGTGCCCTTCCATCCCTGGGTGAGGGCCAGGAACCACCACTGCCCAATTAACTATACCTTTAGAGGTACATCCTAAACACAGATCACCTGTAAAGCAGTTAATGTGACTTGATCATGGGGGTCCTAATTATCCAATAAACAAGGCCAGCCACAAAACAACCTAACTTGATGAAGTTTCAAGTCGGCACTTGTCTATTCCATTCCTTTCTTGGCCTTTGTCAAACTTAACTCTGGATAAAGAAACAGTAACAAAAACAACAGCATTCTGCTGCAAAGCCTTTACTTTTGCAGCCCTATTTCATCCTTATCCAATCGGAAGCTATTTATTTATGCTTGTCTTTCCTCTCGTCTAGACAACAGGCTTCAGGAAAGCAGTTTCTCTCAGGTTGTGATGCTTAGTAAACACCGACTTCGGCCTTCACACAGAGAAGGAGCAACCAAGGAATCTGTGGAATCGAACATGGGCTTACCCTAAAGCTGTGGCTCAGCCTTGGCTGCACACTGGAATCACCTGGAGAGCTGTACACTCCTGCTGTCCTGGCCACAGCCCAGACAATCAGATCAGCCTCCAGGGCGAGGTCCAGACATCACCAGCCTTAAACCCCCCGAAGGTGACCCGGTGTGCAGCCAGGATGAAACCCACGGCCCTAAAGCTAAATGGGTAAAGTACTGGGGTGGGGGCCCCCAACTTGTAGATGAGGACTTGTAGAAAAGCCAAGTCCTCACTCCTTTTGCATCACTGACGGGCCTGCTTTACGGGTTATCTGGAAAGTGATGGTTGAAAGCGAGTAGAAGGTTGCTATTGTTTTAAAAAACCAAAGCTCACAAAACCAAGCGCACAAAAGCACTTTTTATTTGAGGCAAAGAGAAGTCTTGCTGAAAGGATTACAGTTCCAAGCAGTCAAAACTCAACTGTTAGTAGCACTATTTTGACCTGGTAGATTTTGCTTCTCTTTGGTCAGAAAAGAGTATTCAGGTTGTACTTTCCCCAGCGGGGCAAAAAGAAGGGCAAAGCAAACTAGAAGAGACTTCTACTCTACTGACAGGGCTCTTCAGATCCAACATCAAGCTAGACACGCCCTCGCTGGCCACTCTACAGGTTGCTGTCCCGCTGCTGAGTGACAGAGGCCATACTACATTTTCAAGAAAAAAAAATGAGGCAGGAAACACAGGTATAGGTCACTTAGGGATGAGCAGGCATCCACAGCTTCAAAACTCCTCATGGAAGGGGTAATCCTTGTGGGAGGCACAGCTGTCAGGAGAAAGGAGAAAACAGTTGCTTTTTGAAGAGGTGATTTTGACTATACCCAACTCCCAACAGAGAAACGATGTGTCTCATTGAAGAAAGAAAACAGAACCTCAGAGGCAACAAGCTAGTTCTGAATCTGCAGATCACGGTTCTGCAGCTGGGGGAAGCAACTCACCCTGCAGACCCCTCTACCACTACTGTCACCAAGCAGCACACGTGTGAGGGACACCCCCTCCCCATGTGCCCAGCACTGCAGACCCCTCTACCACTACTGTCACCAAGCGGCACACGTGTGACGGACGCCCCTCCCCATGTGCCCAGCACTGTGCCTGGGCCATGCAGGATGGCAACACGATTTCTGCCTCCTAGTAACTCAGTCTAGTTGGCAGGACCAGACAGCATCTTGTGGTCTTAAACAGTAAGAGGGTGTAATAATATCAGAAGGTAGGCCAGGCACAGTGGCTCACGCCTGTAATTCCAGGCTGAAGCGAGAGGATCACTTGAGGCTAGGGGTTTGGGACTAGCCCGGGCAACATAGCAAGATTTCCATCTTAACAAAAAAATTTTAAAAATTAACCAGGCATGGTGGTGCATGCCTACAGCCCCAGCTACTTGGGAGGCTAAGGGGGGAGGATCGCTTGAGTCCAGGAGGTCAAGGCTGCAGTGAGCTGTGATCATGCCATTACATTCCAGCCTGCGTGACAGAGTAAGAGCCCATCTCAAAAAAAAAAAAAAAAAAAAGGGATGTTGAAACTCTGTATGTGACTGAATCTCTAAGGATAAGAGAAGCAACGGCAAGTGCTCTGAGAACGGAGGGAGCCTCCTTGTATCAGTGGGGGCTGAAGTGAGCACAATCAACGGTTGGAGATTTTATACTGGAAACAGGGCAGGGAGCACAGGTGCAGACGTCTTTGCCAAAGCTCACCCACTGTCCATCTAGTAAGGCCAATGGCTGTGCTGGGAACATAAAGGCAGGAACACTGGACAGATGGTTGAGCAAGGCATGCAAGGCCAGAGTTATGTAATCTGAGCTGGGTGCTTAGAGTCTGTAACTCTTATTCAAAACCATTCAAAAGTTCTCCATGGCCTGCCTTTTTTGTGTACCCAAGGAGAGTGACACTGACATCAGCAGGTCAGGCTCAGTAAAGCAGTATCTGCCAGAGGGGTGGCATGTGTATAGAGAAAACTCCCGGGGAGACCTGGGCATGTCAGGGCTAGTCTCTTCCTCCCACTCACCACCACACAACAGGATAATCGAACAGAGGTTTCTAGAACAATACTGGAGGGCAGAGGAGTCTAACTGTAAAGGGAGCAATGAGAAAACCACTGTGGTTCCTCAGCCCTAAGAGCTTCAATCCACTGTCTCAAGTAGGAGAGGAAAAGGAAGACGGATGAACGGGAGATTCTGAAAGGAGAACGAAAGTAGCTTGGTGACTGATTTATTCCTCTCCTCCTTGTCCACTAGATCCAAAAATGATTTCAATGTCTAAGGCTAAGTAGCATTAACAAAGATGTCTGAAAGGGTGCTGGCCTGGGGCTGCCTGTGACATGCTCTGTTTGTGGCCTGTTTTGAGTGTGAGGCCACAGTGTGGCAGCGGCAGGCTCTCCAGACACACGCATGCCTGAAGCAGGGCAAAGTTATCGTCCACGATGCAGGCTGGGCACACATCTGCCTGGGGCAGTGGCTGAAGCCACCAGCAGGTGGCTCCGGGGAGGGAGAGGGGACAGACTGGAAAGGGAAAGCTGGCGGCCCACCCCATCTTAGGGAATGTTCACATTTTGCTTAGAAGAGGAAGCACTAAAGGAGAGCGTGTGGAAACAGCTCAAATGAGAATAAGGGTAGTGAAAGAGAAACAGGGTCTTAGTCTCCACTGCAAAATGAGCAGTTCCTTCTTGAAAAGCAGGAAGTGACTTACACGCGTCACCTAGTTATTGTAATGGTAGGAAAAGAGAAAACCCCCAGAAAACCTTCCTAGGCAGCTCCTTCCAAACTACCACGCAGAGGAAACAGAACCAGAGGATGTATGGCTGGAGGGACGGAGGTGCCTGCTGCTCAGAGGGAGGGCCTGTTTTGGAGCCACGTGGCTTACCAGGGTCAGAGCTGGGACTGTCTCAAACCCCAGCCCCAGGGGCTTCCGACCAAACCCCTTTCATTAGGGTCATTAAGACAAAAAGTCACAGGCAAATTCTTCCAGAGTTTGATCCAGGGTCACCTGGGATCACCTGGTTTCAGATGAACCACTAGGATTTTAAAATTAAATGCCAAAATATGTAGTTACTTCAGGCCAGGCCAACAATGCCCCGTGGTTAGAAGAAGATATCAGGAGCGGATCTCTTGGCATCTTGGCTTCATGCAGTTCAGCTAATGTAAGGTCATGTGGCAGAGAAAGCAAGGTAATGTGCAAAGCAAGAACAGCTGTGACAGGAGCGCACGGGCGCTGAGGCCTGCAGGGATCACTCTTCTGCTCTGCAGTATCTGAGGATCTCCTGGGAACTGCTCCTCACGCTGGGGCTCACTCACCTCAACAAGGCACAGACCCTCCAGTTCCTGTTGTAGCTGAGTAAGGTGGTCATATCCTGGTTGCTCAGTTCAAAGTCAAAGACCTAAAAAACAAACAAAAAAAATCCAGTAAGCTCTGCAAATAAAAACAAAAGACGAAATACTGTGCAGGACCCAGATGTCTTCCATGGCTTTGAGCAGAGATGATAAACTGAACTTAGAAAAAGCTGATTATATTACTATTCAGGAAATGTGCATGTTGGGCTAGATAATATATGGAACGATGAAAACAGTCCTTCCTTTCCAGAACCTCCCAGGGAAATGATACATTTTATTTCATTTCAAAAAACACTACTGAGCACTTCTATTGTGATACGCTGCAGTGAGGAGTAGAATCATGGGTAAGATGTGTCTTTGCCTCTACTGATGAAGCAAACAAAGGGCAGAGGTATTTCTACAGCTGTGCCACAAATAACTAATCACACACTGTAAGGCACTCAACAGAGCACAGGAAGGGCAGAGGTATTCCAAATGCATTCCAGCTGGGGAACTGAACCACCACAGCCGAAGAGGAGGTGGTATTTGACATGGCCTAAGAAGCATCAGGTTCTGACAGGAAGGGCAAGAAAGGTATACTGGGAGAAGAGAAGCACCTGCATGAAGGCAGCAGACAGTACAGAACTCAGCTGGCATGGAGGCTGGGAGGGAGGCAGGCAGGCAGCACTGGGTGAGACCCACATGAGGCCAACACACACTCCCAGAGCCGAAGGGCTCTTAGCTTCAGATGATCACAGAATGTGCAGAAAGAGAGTCTGCTACAGGCTCTGTGATTACGATCACAGAAAAATGTGCAAAAGTTACACAGTAAGATGCAAAAATAAAATAGGTTAGCATTTTGAGATTAGTCATTTATTTTTTCTTTCCTAATTCCTTAAAAAATGAAATATGAAACAAAGGATGCATCTCCGGTGGGCTATGCCTTTCCCTCAGTGGCCACGGTTTTGCCACTTTATCTTGTGTACTCAGAACATCTACCTGCACGTAAGAAGAAAAACGTCTCCTCTACTCAACAATGGGCTCCACTTCCCGCTTCAGGGATCACTCTCATCCCTGTCTCATGCGTGACAGGTGGCAGGCATTAGGGCCACGGCCTCTGGGCAGTGGAATCAGGCAAAACCAGCTGCTCACCTGAGCTGGGGCCTGCCCAAGAGCCCCATGCCCATGGTTGTGCTGCATGCGGCACAGATCTTGGATAAAGACAGAGCTTCCCTGGCAGAGCCACTTCGCTCCATGAGAACAGAGCTTGGGCCATCAGGACTCCCCTGAGTTGCTCTCCTTTGGGCGTGCCCCCACCCCGACTCACCAAAGCTGCAAGGACGGGCGGGGAGGGAGGTGGTGCCCGGTAGCCTGAGCTGCTCCAGCTGCCACACTGAGCACTTTGCCTGTGCCCTGACACACGTCTAGGCTCTGTCCATCATCACATGAACTCCTTGCAGAGCTGGTGAGTGGGCTAAATGGTCCAGAGGGTCCTTTGCGGTCCCTGGACTTATCAGCACAGCAACATTTCTCGATCACTTACTAAGGTATTAAGCACCATGTGAAGTGCTTTGATGCATCACTTAATCTTCGTAACAACCCTCAAAATGGATATTATTTCATAGATAGGGAAGCTGAGGCACTGAGCAGTTAAGTGACTTGCTCAAGGTTATGCAGCTGGTAACAGTTTCAGCGCAGGGCAGGTCCAGGCAGTGAAGCTCAAGAGCGAGATTTTCTCTGGGTAACCTCTCGGTGTGGTTGAAGGGCCTGAGCAAAGGTGTAGGTGTGTGTGTGCACAGCACGGGGCCCTGGAGGCACAAGGCCTGGCTCTGCACATGACCCCACCGGGGAGGTGTCCATCTCAGTCTATGGCTCGCTCGCCATGGCTCCCTGGCCTCAGAGGAGAGGATGGTGGGGATCCCACAGATGACACTCCAGGGACAGGATGAGCGGCTTCCTCCACCGCCCACTCCACGGAGGAGGGCCAGGCCTGACCAGCCAAGATCTTACCTTAAAGTTCTCAGCAATGCGTTCCGGTGTCACAGACTTGGGGATCACCACCAAGTTCCTCTGCATGGGGAACCGGATCAGGACCTGTGAGCCCAGGGAGACAATGAGTGTGTACACATGCCGGGCACTCGCACCATCATCACAGTATCACACAACCCGCAGAAGGACATGCGAAAACTCCGCAGGTGATCAGAGAGGGCCTCCAAGATGGCAGGTCACAGCTAGCAACAGGTAGGCGACGCATTCAGGTCCAGATCTGACTCCAGAGTCCTGCGCTAGCCACCGTGCCACATGCTTCAGTATCTCAGGCATATCACGAGACCACGTGAGGCCCTCCACTGGCTAGGAACGCACACTACCACTCAGGGGAAAGAACATTCCCTGCACAGCTGGTAAGAGCTCTTACATTTGTACAGAGATGAGCTTCCACATCAATGAACAAGTGCTGGCCCTCGTGGCAGTCACCCTTGGGATAGTGGGGGCAGGCACTATTACTCTAAGAGCCCATGCCACTCTTCTAAAGCCCCCATCTGTGCCCTGTCCACTCTGCACTTGAGGACCCTGAACCACACTTCCTGTGAGGGGGTAACAGGCTCAGTCACTTCCTCCTCTTGGCTAACAGGACCATCAGGAATGCAGGGAGTTCTGGAGAGTCAGGAACACCTGAAGTGGCTGTACCTGGGCTGTAGTTTTATTGTGCTTGGCTGCAATCGCCTTGATCCTGGGATCCTCCAGGAGGGAAGGGTCCTCGGGCTTGGCCCTGAGGATAGAAAGACAGTCCAGGTCACACCATCATGGCCGTCACTCATGGCAGCCAGAAACCCTAACCCTAATCCTCCCATCGACCTCAGAGGGCAGCCACCAGTCTCTTCCTCAGAGCTGGGTTAGGAACCCCCAATCCTTTGGAAAAAGAGTAGGTGTCTTGCTACTAGAAACGCCAACCCTTCCAGGAAAACCAGCAAGAGACTCAGGGGAAATTTTGCAGATCAGCCCCAGAAACATCTTCCTTGAGGCTAAATTGTTCTTTTTAGTCATTTCTAATCTTCACCAAGTGACATGGGAGCATGAGCCTGTGGGAAGCTCACCAGGGCCTGTCAGGAGAGCCGAGGGGGCTGTAGGCGGTCACCACGATGCCTTTGGAGTGGCAGTACTGGATTAACTTCTCCTGAGTGAGGTACGGGTGGCACTCAATCTGCAAATGCAAACACAAGAGCTGATGGGAGCACTGTGGCTACATGCTGATATGACACAGATGAAGCTTCCTATGCTAAAGTCCCTCCCTAGCCCATAGAGAAAACTATGTATAACAAACACCCTATTTCCCAGATAAGCTGTACCTTCCTACAATACCCAGGTAGTATCCCTGATGTTACCATGTTATTACTATCATCTTATTATAGATGTTCTCATGGGCCCTAGAGGCTTTTCCTGGCTTTAGCCACTTATCAGTTATCACAGGTCTGAGGATCTCATGGCTGCCTCTTTGTCAGAACCCAAATTGTCACAAGCCAGGCTCAAACCCTTTCTTTCCTGTAAATTTCCTCTCCCAGATGTGCTGTGTCATGCTGAATCATAACTCAGGACTCTGGAGCTGCCTCCTGGCCCAGGAGCTGCCTCCTGGACACTCGCTGGGTGAGGTGGATGAGAAATCCCTACCAGCATCAGATAGTAAAACAGCATCGTTGCAATGCCAGTGTCCCTGGGGGACGTTTACCTGGTTAACTGCAGGCTTATATTTTAAGCCAGGTTTGTTTAAGATCGCCTCCACCTGGAGATGGTTGAAGTTGGAGATGCCAATAGCTTTCACCAGCCCTTCATCCACCAGCTCTTCCATGGCCTACAGAGAAACGTGTGTCTGTGTGGTGCAGAAACGAGCCCAGAAAGCACAGGATCAGAAGTGTCTTTTGCACCAGTTTAATGGGTCCTGCCCTCACTCTTCAGTGCCAGCGAATTCGACCTTTCAGAAGCCAAGAGACAGCGAGACGAAAGCCAGGCTGGCTTTAATGAGATAAGAAGAGCAAACAACAGGGACAGAATAACAAAATGCAATGTGAGAAATGGCAGGCAGATTGCTCCTAAGAGGAGGGAACCAGTCATGAAAACAAGGTCCAACCAGGGGCTGTCTTACCGCCCATGTGTCCAGAATGTTGGTGTCACTGGGAACCACATTGCCCGACTCATCCAATGGGAAAAATTCCTTCCCAGGCTGTCATTACAATAAAAAACAAACAGACAAAACAATCAGTAATAGTCCTTCACAGACCTGCTGAGGGAAGCTGGCATCTAAAACAATTCTAAACCACCACAGCTGGCTAGGGACCATCTGTGTGCCAGTATGAAAAGGAAATAGGTGGACAGCCAACACTTCTCTATCAAACGGGCTGGAGCTGGAGACACGGACACTACTTTGCCACAGAGATGAGCCCCGCCACTGACTGCAATGTGTGGATACAGGAAGGACTCAAGACCAGGACTCACGGGCCCCAAGGCCCAGCTGGTCACTGGCCTATAAAACTACCACCTGGCCCAGTCTCCCCGGCTTATCCCTAAAATCCAAAGATAAAAGTCAAGTCCCTCCAGCCCTGACATGCTGTGGTGCAATAAAACAGGGCTACAGGATAAAGCTAAATGCACACTTTGAACCCGGCTGACAGCAGAAAACTGAGGCAGCAGCTAGAAAAAAGGCAAAAGACATAATAACTCTCAAGTTCTTCTTGTGCAAAGAACCAGACAGCCAACAAATATTTATCAGGCCTCCACAGGATAGGGTATGTGTGTAGAATGTGGGTGGGGACTCATGTGTGTGTGGAATGTATGTGTGCACGTGCTTGGAGAGGAGGGCCAGGGTACTGACCGTGCCGCATGGCCATGTGCACTACAGACAACAGCCGTGTTCGCTGACAGTTTTAAATTGCACAACTAAAAACTGACAAAGAGCAGTGCTCCTCAAACCTGGAAGAAGTGTGCATGTGAGTCACTGCTGGTGCAGATTCAAATGACCTGGGTGGGGCCCGAGACTGTGATTTCTAAGACGCTCCCAGGTGATGCCAGTGCTGATGATTCACTGGCTATACCTTGAGCAGCAAGAACAGAAAGTCACCCACACATAACCTGCTAAGGGAGCTCAAAATACACCACAGGTTGCGCCTGAGCCCCGGGGGACCTGGTTTGCACCAGGCATCCCATACCTTAAAGCCAGTTGGCCAGTGAATAAGGTAGAGGTCCAGGTAGTCCAGCTTCAGGTCGCTGAGTGTCTTCTGGCAGGCTCCTTTCACCAGGCCCTTCTCATGGTACGTGCACCACAGCTAAGCCAGCGAGAGGGCACACGTCATCATTGCCAGCCACAAGGCAGCTTCCTGGCTGGAAGACAGAGCAGTCTCCTCTCCCCAAAACCCATTTGTTTCACCATGACGCTCTGAATGGTTGTGAGGGCATTTCCACTGTGTACTAGATCCTAACTTTCCAAAGGCAGGCAGGATGACCAGGTCACCGAGACCTCTTACAAGGACCAAACAGAGGACACAAAATGGAATGGACAGATTGGCCAGCCTGCCCTAAGCCTAAGCATGAACTCTCAGGGAAACTTCCCCCCCGGGCTGGTGTTTGTGGAGCCAGCCCCATTCTCCTGCCTCATATCCTTTGTGCATCGATATCTCAGGTCAAAGACAGTGGCCAGCAGTAGAGATTCAGCCTGCAGATGGGAACCAAGTTCCATCCTTGAAAGCGACTCCCTGGAGAGGGAGGGCCAATCCACAACCTCAGCCTCATCAGCATGGGGCTCTAAGCAATGGGCCCAGACGGAATGAACGTTCAACAGACAGCCAAGGATGGGCAAGCTCTGGAGCCCTGTATGGCCCTGAGTGACACGTTTCCCCTGGAAGAATCGCCCGTCAGTGAAAAGTGTAGCTGTATTGAGTGTGGACTTGGCTTTGGGCTGATGCACCAACAATGGGACCGAGAGACCCTTCCAGCCCCACCGTGGAACAATACCTTGCTGACGATGAAGAGCTCCTCACGCTTCACCACCTGCTCCCTGAGCTTCTCCTGAATGGCCACCCCCACCTCATTCTCATTCTGGTACACATGGGCACAGTCGATGTGGCGGTACCCGACGTCAATGGCCACCTTCACGGCCTCAGTCACCTGCCCTGGAGGGGACTGAAAGGAGAAAGTACATGAGCCCTGCAGAATGCAGAGTTTGCCCAGCAAGGAAGAGGGGCAGTGGCAGCCGCCGATCCCTGCTGACCAGCCTGCCGCTTTGTTCAGCGAAGACAGACCAGGTCACTTCCGCAGCATTCTGGACTACCAGCCTCAGATGTGGGGGATGGAGGTGAAAGGCCACACAGGATTGCCCTGTAGGAGAATCTGACAGCCACTGAAGCGCAGGTCAGATCACTTTTAAAAGATATGCTGAAGTCATCTCATTTTCTTGCTTCTTCACATCCACTGATTTGCAAACCACTGTATTAAAAACATTTCCCCACACTCTCAATGCTGAGATAGTAAGGGAAACCATTTCCTCCAAATATCTGAAAATATTTCAAAAAAAGCTGTCCTACGGACCCCAATTCCCACTTGGCCCCCCAGTTCAGCCAGCGAATGCCTGCCCCTTATGCTCTCTTTTCATGCATGGCTTCTGATACCAGCAATTGCTTGTTTTCAAGCAGTTCTGGGAGATTATCATGAGGTCAAGAACATCACTGATGTTGATTCAAAGGCCCATGTGTCAATTCTCACTGTATGAGGATCTGCTTCAAGAGGTATAGAGACAGGGGAGAGGGCCCCTCAGAGATATTAGCAGATAGAAATGAGTTAAAGGGAAACCAGGGGGAATGTGGATCATGGAAGATCACCAAATGGTTAGTGGTAGACCTGGCAAAATGACTGAATGGGTGTCCATGGCCAAGCCACCTGACCATCTGAGTGACCAGAACAGCTGTGGGGAGCCTGGCTACTGGAAGAGGAGGAAGTGCCTACAATGGCATCGTGCTTCACTGGCACCCAGACAGACTGCATGGACAAGTACCGCCCAACTTTCACTATCCTGCTACAATTACAGAGCTGAACAATAAACGTGCGCAGTGGGCTGTTGAATGAACAGAGTGCATTCCTTTGAAGAGCTGGGGTAGAAACAAATGAAAAGAAAACCCCCCCAGGGCCATGGCAGCTGCAGACATCTGTGTTTTGACATCAGCTATTTTCAACAGGTGTTGGGGAAGAAAGGCACCCAAGTGAACAAGCCCATTACCAGAGCCTGTTAGCAAGGCGCTCACTCTCCACCTCAGAGGGACCAGCGAGGCAGGGTAGGGTTGCTCATCGAAGGTGTGGGTTAAAAGGAGACCTTTAGAGGACCTCAGAAGCTGCTCTTGCAGCCTTCCCCACTCTGCACGGTTGAAAGAACAGAGAATCTCAATTTCCGGAAAGAATGCCTTACCGCAGGCTCTGAGTGGTGTCCGGGCAGTCACCACTGATGAGAGCAGGGAGAGCAGAGGACATCCCTACCCCAGAGAGAACAATTGGGGCCCAGGCAGGAAACTGCCCAGGACACATTGAACTTTCCCCAGGCTTGATGGTGCCTTGATTGATTTTTCTCTGAGGAGCTGCTGCAGCATGTACTATATATACTGTGCCTGCCTGATCCCTCGAAGCCTGGGACAGAGGGGAGGGCATACTCCGCAGGCTCGCCCTAGCCATGCACCGCCTGCCACGCAACTGGTGCGGGGGCAGGAACACGACTCAACCCAGGCCATGAGACTCAATCTTTGCACTTGAATTGGAACCACTAAGACCAGCCCTGGTTCTGCTGGGGTCACTGAGCTGGGAGAATGTCAGCCTGGAGCTGCTGGAGGGAAGCAGAGGGAGGCTGAATCCTGGTGACAACATTTAGAACCCTGAATCTCAGACACCTAACGTCAGCAGCTGTCATTTGGGAAGTCAATCAATCCCCACCCCAAACACACATTTTTTTTTTTTTCCTGCTTAAGATTAAAGTGGTTTTTCAGTTCTTTGGAATCCATAGAGCACAGACTAGGATAATCAAGGTTGTCAAACGGTTGGCACGAAATGAAAAAGAAAGTTGTGAGATGTTTTTCTAGAAAGTAAAGGACACAATGACTGCAAGAGGTCACGAGGAAGCTGCTGCCGATCGCTCCTTGGATATGTGCCATTCACTGAGACATGTATGCTGTGAGGCTGACCAAAGTGCTCAGGGAAAAAGTCACCTCTGCAATGAAAATGTAGGAGGATCCACAAGCACATTCAATGTTAATGATCTCAATATAGAGCCCTTCCCTGAGAGAAACTAATTTGCCTTAGGACAAATGAAGCAGCCAACTTAAGCTATGGTGAGAAACTGTTCACTAAACTTGGGAATGCCAACACAGGATGACAACATCTCCCCAATCCATGTCAAAGAAGAGAAAATGCAAACAGAGGGAAGGGTCCAGATTGACTTCTAAAAAGAAAGTAAACTGAAAACATGCTGGGTGGCATCCAGGCACAGCCATTATTGATGAAGAGCTGTAGAAATGCAGCATATGAAACACTCCAATTGCAACTCAATCATACAAATCCTACATGTTTCTAACCCGATCCTGCCACTAATCTGTGTGCCCTTAATGGGCAAAGCCATGCATGCCCATTCCTCCTGGAACTTCTGGCTCTGCAAAGCTCTACGTTGGGCAGTGACTTTGCAATGCTCTGGGCTGATGGCACCAAGTGATGGCAGTGAGAAGCCTCTGCCCTTGAGTCCTCCACCACCTCTTCAAGACAGGGGTCCCACTTCCTCCTTTGATAACACCGGTCGGCTAATACCAACTCTGAGACACTGATAACTAAAATCAGTGTCTCCCTCCTACACAGATACACACAACACTCCTTTTAAAACCTAGTCCTCTTCCCTTTTGCTTACAGGTCTTTGATAGTTACTTCAAGACACCCCTCGCTCTCTTCCCTCTGCAAGTCAAAAAGCAAGCCACAGTGCCAAACAGGAAACCGTCACAGGACCGTGTTTATGGTAAAACCAGAGTATCTCGGAGACTGGATATTTTGCAATATTAACCACGGGATATCTGGGAAGAGGGAACTCTTCTTCGTCGTACGTTTTTGAAATGTTCTCTAGTTAGCAGGTGTTGCTACTGAAATGAAAGGGTAGGGGGACGGGGCAAAGGACACTTCACTTCGGGTAAAGGAACCGACCTGAGTAGGAAGCATGAGAATGGTATGCTGATAATCCTGGAGCAAGGAACAGGAAACCATCACTCAGAATCAGGTTTGGCAACAGAGATTAACTTCCTCCTGTTCTATTTTCATCAATTTGTCCCAAATTCTAAGACACTGCTATTTCTAACTAGTTGAGATGTGGATGGACCAGGACTGACCCTGTAGGGGCAGGGCTTATTTAAATATCTTTGGTCTTGAAGAGGAGGAGATGGGGGCTTTAGAGACACCAGGGAAGTGAACAGTAAATCTGGCTCCTGTGTTACTTCCATGCCCACAGCGCCTCAACCCTCACCCCATCCAAGGATCTTGGGCCATCACGAGCTTACCCCACTTGGGGAAGGTGGAGCAAGTCTTTCTTGGCACATTTTCTTTTACCTCATGCATTCTCAAAGTGGTTGCTATTGCCCCAAAGAGACAAAAATTAGTTCTTTGGGGCAAAAAAACCTCTCAGCTTATAGAATGGCTTGTGACCCTCTAGAAGGCTACTGGCCATAAGCAGAAGTACAATATTATCTGTGATATTATTTTGGGGCAACATTGCGGGGGAGTCTCACAAGGCTCCTAGGTGGGAGGGAGGTAGTGATCATGGTAAAATATGGAGAAACATACTTGTACCTTCAGCCCTAGGAGTATCCTGCGAGCATACATAAAAGACTTACAATGACTATTTACCTCCAACAATTTTTCAATTAGATTAAAAACTATCAGTAACAAGACACTGGCTGGCACCAGACACCATCTCTGTTTTAAAAGCTTCCTGGCTTTACAATGCTATGATGGTTTTTTGTTGTTGTTGTTATTTGTTTCTGAGACGGAGTTTTTTTTTTTTTTGCTCGTCACCTAGACTGGAGTGCAGTGGTGCCATCTCAGATCATTGCAACCTCCGCCTTCTGGATTCAAGTGATTCTCCTGCCTCAGCCTCCTAAGTAGCTGGGATTACAGGCACCCGCCATCATGCCACACTAATTTTTGTATTTTTAGTGGAGATGGGGTTTCACCATGTTGGTCAGCTGGTCTCAAACTCCTGACCTCAGGTGATCCACCCGCCCTGGCCTTCCAAAGTGCTGGGATTACAGGTGTAAGCCACCGTGCCTGGCCAGTGGCCTTGTTTACTATCCATTGTAGAAGGCAAGCCTGCCAGAAAGAAACCCTGTCCAAGCCACGTGGGTCTGGGGCAGAGATGGTCTCTCCACCTGCCTGAAACCTCCACCTGAGGTGAGAATGGAATTTGAGGACCTTCAAGAGTAGAGACTACCAGAATCCTGCTGAGGGTCTGAAAGGTACAACACAGCCGCTACAGCATGGAAAGACCCAGGAAAATAAGGAACTGCACCTGCCTGCAGGGCCTTCTCCAGCTGTCACAAAGACAGGCAAAAGATCACCTTTTGTCAAGCATCTGTGAAAGAATACATACACACACACAAGGGAAAGGTTTTTCTGTTTTGTTTTGTTGTTTTTTTAGATGGAGTCTTGCTCCATTGCCCAGTCTGGAGTGCAGTGGCGGGATCTCAGCTCATTGCAACCTCCACCTCTGCGGTTCAAGCAATTCTCCTGCCTCAGCCTCCAGAGTAGCTGGGACTACAGGTGCATGCCACCATGCCGGGCTAATTTTTTGTATTTTTAGTAGAGACAGGGTTTCACTGTGTTAGCCAGGATGGTCTCGATCTCCTGACCTCATGATCTGCCCGCCTCTGCCTCCCAAAGTGCTGGGGTTACAGGCATGAGCCACCGTGCCCGGCCCAAGGGAAAGGTTTTAAGTCATTAAAAAAGAAAAAAAGGAAGTTGCCTCCAAGTCCATCCTTATACCATTAATTTGACCCACGATTCCCTGCTGCCCCCACCATACAATTCTACACCAACCTGATCTCCTCATCCACAGAAATACAAGTGGGCGCTTTCACCATACAGCTATCTCTAAAGTCGTTTTACTTCTTCACGTGAATTCAACACATAACTTTTGGATACCTACTACTATATTTGCCAGGCACTGTGAGAAGTGCTAGACATAATAATGAATGAAGCAGACATTATCCAAGTTCTCAATGAACTGTCTACTGGAGTGCATAACCTAAATGTACAGATGTTATGATGTGATGCTATCTTAAACAAATACACAGCTTTTTGGGGCATGGGGTGCTCAAGTGAATGATCTGAAACCCTCTTCCAAAAACTTTTACTCCTCCGCCTGGACAACATAGGGAAACCTGTCTCTATAAAAAATTAAAAACAAACTACCCGAGTGTGGTGGCATGCCTGTGGTCCCAGCTACTTGGGAGGCTGAGGTATGAGGACCGCTTGAGCCCAAGAGGTTAAGGCTACAGTGAACCATGATCATGCCACTGCACTCCAGCCTGGATGACAGTGAGCCCCCGTCTCAAAAAAAATAAACTTTTTCTCCTTATTTACCCTAGAGTAGTGATTTTCAAATGATGGGTCACAAAACTAGCTTCTAGAGTTACGACAATAATTTTTGGAAAAATGGAATAGAGTAAAAATATTGAAATGCTGCCCACATAGGTTTAGTACTGTCAGGTAATTTTTATTCCAGATACATGTATATATCTGTGTGCTGCATCATGCTTAGAAAGTATTTGCAATTGCCAAGAAAGCATCCTTCCGCATCCATTCCAAGAGCATAACCTGCAACAGACGGAAATTAGCTTGGTGTCATGTTTGTAATTCAATTACACCCTCAGAGACACCACTGGACGTTTTGGAGGAAACAAATTATGTACCCTGATCATTCTGGCCAAGAAACACTCTCCCTGATGCAAATGACCTTTTTCTTACTCACCTCATATTTACTAATTTTCAACAGCAGGTTTTAGGGTACATGTAAACTCTTCTGTCCTATTTCAAACATCTCCCCGTTCACTCAGTCCTTTCTGTTGTTTTCTTCCCTTGGCTGTGTGTAAATATCCAGCGCCCAGGCCCATATTAAATTTTAAGAGAAAAACCTGGGACGTGGGCGTGCCAGATGGTTTACACCTGTATTTGGGAGGGGAGGTGGGAGGAGTGCCTTGAGCCCAGGAGTTGGAGATCACCCTAAGCAACAAGGGGAGACTGTCTCTGGGGGGGAGGGGAGAAAAAACATTAGCCAGGTGTAGAGGTGAGCACCGGTAGTCCCAGCTACCCGCAGGGCTGAGGCAGGAGGATCACTTGAGCCCAGGAGTTCTAGGCTGCAATGAACCATGATTGTGCCACTGCACCCCAGCTCGGCCAACGAGACCCTGTCACAAACAAACAACGAAAATAGAAACAGAGAGAAACCCAGGTTATGGCTGTGGAATATAATATACGATACTTAGTACTTAAAAATACTGGCTTTTGCCTCAGCTCCCATACCACCACATTTATTGCTCAATTTTCAGATAATTAGGCTATTATTTTTAGTTTTTCATATCATATTATCATCTGTTTCATATCCTATGGTGTTTCATGTCCTATTGTCATTTTCATCCGGCCAGGCACTTCTCCGGGACGCTGTGTGGCGTTGAGGTTTTCCAGGCAAAATGCTAAGCTTGGCGCCTGCTGAATTATCAACTGGCTATGGGGTGCCCAGATTTTGTCCCGAGCTCCAGGCCCAGGACATCCCGAGGCGGCGCCTGGCCGAGGAGCTCCGCACTGAGCCTTGTTAGCAGCTGGGTCCGGGCAAACTCGCCCCACCTAATTTAATTCTCTGCCTTCTACGCGCTTAAGATGCTTATTCCTGAGGGATGGCAAGAACGGAAACGACTGAGACAAACTATTTGCAAGTAAGGCAACGGGGCCACAGGTGCCGCGAGGGGAAGGAGGCTGGGGCCGCGCCCCCACACCTCGCCGACGGCTCCACGTCCCTGTTCTGCGCCGGAGGTCCACCGGTCTGCTAAGCCCACTTTCCCCGCCTCCCTTTCGCGTTGTGCCGCTTGGGGCGCCCGCTCGGACACCAAATGCGGACTGGGGGGCCGCCCATCAAGGGTTGCCCGCGGTGGGGCGAGGGCTCCCGTGAGCTGCTCCCAAACCCCACTCGCAGGATGTCTCCCCTGACGCCCAGGGCCAGCCCCGGGAGCCAAGGCCCGGGTCTCCGCAGGGCCGACCCCAGCCCGTTGGGGACCCTGCAAGCCGGCGCGAGTGACCCAGCAACCCGGGCGTCCGCCGTGCGGGTTTCTCAGGGTCACTCCGGGTCCCTCCCCGACACAAGCCGCGCGGAGAGTATGAGGCGAGCCCAGGGCCCGCGCCCCCCAACCACCTACCTTCCAGGTGCCCAGCCCCAGGATAGGCATCTTGGCGCCGTTGTTGAGCACGAGGTGGCTGGCCATGGCTGCTGCGCTCCCCAGACCCCCGCCCAGAACGGTGCGGTCGTGGCCGCGGCCCGTATCTTTAAATAGCCCGTGAGGCCGGCAGAAAGGGCGCCTGCGGTTGGCGCGCCGCTGCGCGAAGGACCCTTCTGATTGGTTGCGTCGAGGTTCCGCGGCCGCCTACCCCAGGGGTCGGCGGGGATGCCTCTTCCGCCAGGGATGCTTTTTCCGCCAGGTCCTAGTGGCACCGAATTCTTTCCGCCCCCATCGCTAGCCCCCGTCCCGCGTGGCAGAAAAGAGTTCCTCAGCTGCTGTATTTCGTGCGAAAGCGAATGCTTTAGCGAAAATAACAGGCATCCCATCAGTACATAGACTGGAAATAAGTTTTGGTTTCATTAAGAGCCCAGAAGAATGCCTTTGTCTATTGTCCAACCCCAGTTTGATGCTCTTTGGGAATTTGACGAATACCTTGTCCTTAATCTATGTGAATCATACTGACTACACATATAGTTTACCGTACTTTGTTCTTAGACAAAGGTGCATGCCAGAAAAATGGCTTGCAATCTTTTTGCAAAGCACCTTCACAAAATACAGGTTTGCCCAGCCTTTTTGTAGCCTTCTAGAGCTCTTTTTGCAGCCTTCTAGAGCTCTTTTTGCACCCCATTCTAACACAGCTAACAGGTGTTAGCTGTGTCTGTGCATACTAGGTGTGGTTCAGCAAGCCTTCCACCAAAAGCCAGCATCCTTTGATGCTCTTGAGGTTAGAAAGCCTTGATGAGCTTGATCCAGAACACTCAGAAGAATTTGGAAAGACTCTCCATTCAGAGTCAGTAAAACAAATTGCATCAGTCTTTGGAAACTGAGACTCTATCAAAGCAGTAACTTCCAGTACAGTAACTTAGCAAAACTCTCTAGAAGAAGAAAAATGAACTGACAGAAACCCACAGAAGAAAAAGTTAACTCTAATATTGTAGCTTCCAGTATTTCAAATTAGAAGGTACAAAATAATAAATTGATCAGCCCTAATTGGCAGGTAGAAAAACACATTTTTCCAAGATAGCCTCAGAAAAGTCACTTGAAGATCCTTGAAGACAATTTTGGTTTCTTTCCAACAAGCTCTCTTCATGATACTCTACCTCACCCCAACTGCTCTTTCTGCTCCATCACCCTCCAATCTTTCCCCTAATTATGCAAGTTTGGGAACTCCATCTGCCTGGTAATGACTCAAGCACTAGGCCTCTCTAAACTCCATGCTGGTGATTTTCCATTTAGTGCTTTCTTTAAAAGTGCTCCCTCCTGGAAAAATTTATACGGAACAGACTAGCCCAGATATTTTTCCATGTAACTTCTATAAAAATTGTTGCTACTGGGCAAATTCATTTGTCCCCAAGTAACAGAATTTGAACTTGAGCCTAAAACTGGGAACTTGCTTTGTGTAAAACAGCCAAGTTCCTTCTTCCATGAGAGTCCTCTTGACTTGGAGGTTGCTCTGCCAGTTGAAACTCCTGGGTCCAAATCCAAAGAGCTAATCTCTTGTGAAAATGATACACCTTGAGAGGCCAGGTTGGTACACACAGAAGGGTCATCTGTTAGGGACATGGACTCAATATCAGAGGCTTTGTTGCTGTTTTGATAATAATTGAGTATACAGCTTGATTACATGAAGGTATAACTGTGTCTAAAGTTGGAGTGATACCTATAGTCTCAGCTTCTCAGGAGGCTGAGGTGGGATGATTTCTTGAGCCCAGGAGTTAGAGACCAGCCTGGACAACATAGCAAGACCCTGTCTCTAAAATAAATAAATAAACCCAGAATATTTTGGCTGGGCCATGCAAATGTGAAAAGTTGTATCAGTGGAATTTCTATAGCAACAATAGCACTCTAGTTGAGACATGCTATTGTAATGGCCCCCAACATCCCCCATTGCCTCTGTAATCTTTGTAAAATGTACACATCTCAAGATTTTTGATCTCCCATCTTTTGATAAGTATACGTATCAAAATTTAGTTTGAAAAAGGGAAAAAAAATCTTCAATGGAATCCTCCTGAGAAACACTCTAGTAATTGGAATCTTAACATGCTCTGAACCAGTAATCTCCCATCATGGGAATTATTTCCCAAGGAAATAATTTAAAAGGAAAACACACACACACACACACACACACACACACACACACACACACACACACACAGGTATAGGGCTGGGCTGGGACCAAGGTAAGGCAAATGAGGTACACAGGTGCAGATTTTCATGCCAGAAGGTAGGAGCTTCCTTACATTTATGTCCTTGGCTCTTGCCTCCCCTTAGTCCTAGGCCTGCACACAGGTATACACATATATGTATGTATTTTTAAAATGCTGTATACGTAAAGTAAAACTATAAATATCCAACAAGAGCAAGAGATAAGGTGTAGCCATCAAAAGTAAAGATGATAAAGACACAGAGAAAAATATATATGAGGTAATGTTAAGGTGAAAGTGGAAAACAAAGTCATGTAACGATGACATGATGCTAAGAAGGAAAATACAACTTATAACATTTGGGAAAAATTAGGAAGAAGCCAGAAGCAAATGGGGAATACTCTTTGTCAGATTATTTCCTTAATAATCTGAACACATTTTGAATTAAAAGACAACTTCTTATGAACTGTCCAATTCACACAGGATAAAACTTAAACTCCTGAGCCTGGCATTCAAGGCCCTGCGAGATCTGGTACAAGTTTGAATATACAAAAAACCACCCAAATGTTTATTTAAAAAGGTAAATCATATGGTATGTAAATTATGCCTCAATAAAACTGCTATAAACAAACGAAGGTTACATGCTACATGTCCAACACAAGCTGGTGGAGCTGAGGGTGGCAGTAGGCTCTGTTCACATTGTCACTCAAGGACTCAAGCTATGGAGGTCCTACCACATTGTTTCCCTGCTGTCCCAACCTAAGGCTTCAGGGTTTGGCTTAGGAAGGCAAAAGAGAACCTGAGTGTCAAATGAGCAATCAATTGCTCAGGCCTGGAAGTGGCACACATCACTGCTACCTATAATCCTTTGACCAGATCTGGTGGTAGAGCCCAGTCAGGCCTATCTTCCATGGGATGGGGAAGTGTCATCCTCCTGTGTGCCAGAAAACAGAAGTGAATGGGTATGGTGAGCACCAGAAGTCTCTTCCACAATGACAAACCACTACTGAGTCTTTATTATCGTTCAGACACTGGATTATGGTTTAGCACTTGGCATATGTTATATGAAGGTGCTGCTGCTGCTGCTTATATATCTATTGAGCTTTGTATATGGCCAGCACCATTCTATGAGCTTTATGTACATTAAATCATTTAATTTTCATAACCACCCCTTTCATGGATACCATTACCAATCCATCTTACATGTGAAGAAACTGAGATGCAGAGAAGTGAGAACAATTGCTAAGATCTCACATTAAGTAAATGTTAGGGTCAATATTTAAACCTAGGAATTTGACTATAGCACTCAAACTCTCAACTACTACCAGTAGCTTTCAAATTTTTAAACTGTGACTCACACTAAGAATTTTGGAATGAGTGATGTCAGGAAGAAGGTTGATTAGAAATGCCTAGTTCTTATCCCTGCCACAAGACAGGACCAAGGGAATGAATAAACCGCGAATATTTAACTGGAATTATGAAAAGAGAGCATTAAGGTGCAGTGGGGCAGTAGAGGGGAACTTGTAGTGATTGGAAGCCCAAGAGAGTACCATGGAGGCACATGGCATCTGTAGCCCCGTCTTGCCTGCCACAATTGCATCAGCCCAGAGACAGGAGGGAAGTCCCCTTGTAGGGAAAAGTTAAAAGAACTCCACCAGTCTCCATTGCCACTGTAAATGACCCCAGTCCTCATTATGAAATAATCCCACAGTCCTTGCAAGCCCTGTGCCCAGTTTGAAGAGCTTTTGGGAATCCATATAGCTGTATCACTCTGGATTAGGAGCACAGGGTATGCACACACCCTTCCCGTAGTGAGCCAAGCTGCTGCAGCATGGCACCATCTTGAGATCAGAGCCATCTCTGGACTATGCCTTGCTCTGGAGGCCATAGCCATTGCACTTCTCCAGCACTGGGGCTCCATCTTCATTCCACCAAGCCCACATGTGGGCCAACTGCACAAAGACTGGGCCCAGGATTGGCTGTGACTCTGGTCCTGCACCACAGTGAAACCAACCCCTGTCATCTGCAATACAGCTGAAGGAACAGTCTGGCAGTTTCACCCAGGGTGAACCTTCCTTTAAGCCAGCCAAATGGCTATGTGTCCTCCCTCAAGCAGGAGAGGGCCTAGCCCATCAAACAACTGACATGCCTACCCCTAGGCCAGCAGAGTGGCCATATGCAGATGTACAGAGCCTGAAAAAACAGGCCTATAGCACCTACTCCCTCCATGAACACACCCTTGGATTGCCTCACATTCACAACCAGGGCTTGGAGAAACGAGAAGCTGACTGAGTAGCTGTGTGAAGCCCACACAGGTGGCCGAATCCCACAACTCCAGCTGCATGGAGTCTGGGCCCAGGACTGCCTGTGACTCCAGTCCTGCACGGCAGTGAAACCAACCTACACACTGTCTGGTTTTAGAGTTGGAGGAAGAGTCTGGAAGTCTTGTCCAAGGAGAGCCTACACTTAAGCCAGCTAAACTGCTGCACACCCTCTCCAAAGTGAGAGGGGTCCTTGATCCACCTAACAGCCGACATGCCACTGGGCCCACAGAGCAGCTGTGTGCCCATGCCCAGGGCCTAAGACACAGGAGCAGCATGGGACCACACCCCTACCGTGAACATGCTGCTGACCTGCCCAAAGGACCTGCGTGTGTAATCAACACTTGAGAAACAGCTCTGTTGGCCACCCCCAGCAGACATGCACCCAGGCCAGCCAAGAAGGTGTGTGGCTGCATCCCATCCCTGAGAAATGGCCCTGTGGATTGCCCTGGCAAACACACTTCCAAGCAGCTAAGCAGCCATGCACTCATATTTTGGGCCTGGGAGATAGCCCCATAGGCAATCCTTAGAAGGCAAGCAGGCGGGCCAACAAAGCAGCCACACACCTGCCCCCTCAGGCTTGAGAAACAGCCCCATAGCATGAAATCAC